GCACACAAGTCGAGTAACCATAATCACAGTAAATGCTTTAACCACCACACAAAGTGTGCATGTGTGGAAGAGAAGAAGCCACACGTTGGGGGACCTCAGGAAATAGGGTTAATACTTAATAATAATAATAATATTGGTTGAAATCTAAGGTAAATTTCATATATATTTGGTTCAGATCTTACCCTGACACTTTCACATGGTTGCTGCTTTACATGACAAGGACATATTGAAGTCAGAAACACTTTATGGACATTTTTAGTAGTTTTATGCTTTATGTAATTGACAAGATGGTTTGGTGTCCCAGAAGCAGCTAACATTTTATATTTGAAGCAGGCATAACAGCAACAGCTACAAAATGTCAGTAAAAACACATGGCATTGGGAAGTAGCACATAGACAAGTTTGAATAGATTTGTCCATGTAACGTAAACATCTTAATCTGAATAATTCCTTACTCAGATTATAGGCAATAATTGGACTATTAATGTGCATTGGAAATATAGCCATTGAAACGTATTATTGTGGTTTTTGAGGATAACCTGGCCATATTGTCATACGTCTAATCTGGCTTACTAGAATTTGCCCTTAAAAGCCATAGGATTTGATGTCCATGCAGCATTTGATATGTTAGATGGTAGATGGTTTAGGAGGAAATGTTTTTTGCCGACCAAGCTGGGAGACTAACCAGCTTCACTCTTAAAAATAAAGTTTCTTTATTGGCAGATTATTCCATGAAGAACCTTTAACATCCATGGAAACTTCCCATTGCACAAAATGTTCCTATCAGTGTAAAAAAGGGTCAACATTTTATTAAATGTTTATCACACTAAGAAAAATTGTACTTTTAAGAATTGTTCACTGTAACATTTGTTAGGAAACTCAAATTGGTTCTGTCATCACCTTATTTTTAAGAGTGTCTACTATCTTAAACCGACTAAGACCATTTTCAAGAAGTTTTTAGCTCTCCCCTGCCATTTACAACACTACTGTAACAGAGCTGAAAAACCATCAGAACCATTAATTTATTCTGCTGATATACTTAATAAGTGACATTTATTGTGTAACAGTCAGAAACACTGAATCGAAGCGGTCCATAGTGTTCTATGCAGTTATGTGATCCAAATGACTTTCTCCCTACAGCATGCCTGACTGCTTACCAGCTCTAAATCTGACTTTGAGAGCCTTCTGCCCATGAACGGGGACCCTATGGCCTCCCTACATGTCAAAAACCGGATCCTATTAATACATTCAGCATCCGCACACACCCTCCTGTTTCGACACACAAATAGATGAACATGCCTCCATTCTTTCACACGCTCACAGTTCCCTAAACTCAGCCGAAAGTCACTGTCCTCCTACAGACGCTTGTTATCTGGATTACCAGAATGTCTTTATAGCCTTACTGAAAGGTGACTCAGAAACTTCCTTAGATCAATACCATTTTAGGCCTAGACTGAGCTCAGCCCACTCTAGGACATGCGTGGGTGAGACAGCCAGAGAGACAGATAGACAGACATGGAATACCATTCCTCATAAGCTTTGGAGTATTTGGAAGGAGATTTCAGACTGATTTATTGATTGCATGAGATCATCCTTGAGAAGAACCGAATGTCTTGAAAGAAAATGTTCTGTTTCCACACAACCTAACAGGTGTTAAACAGTCCATTCTTATAATGTACATTCACAAACAATCTCTTCTGTGAAGAATATTGCCACATTAGTGTTGTTTTCATCAATTGATGGTCTCTAATTGAATAAAAAGACAGTTCCTGTTACATCTGCCAGGTCTAAAGGCTAGAGTTGAAAAGGAAATTCAGTTAAGGGACAGAGAGAGAGACAGTGGTGTCAAAGCTATTCTTGGGTCACAGCTATTTTTAGTTTAAAAATAATAACCATCATAACTAAAAGATGAGCAGGAGAGAGAGAGAGAATACAATGTTAATGGCAGGATTTTGGCATGCTTTAACAAAGTAGTTTACACCACACTCTCAAATCTTATTTTGGTCTGTGAATCCATGTAAACTGCATCAAAACTTCAATGGGGATTTGCACACAATTGTCTTTCCCACCCATGTGAATAATAATAATAATAATAGTAGTAAAGTAACAGGAGGAATAGCATACAAGGAGTAATTGTAACACTAGTAATAATTGTAACACTAGTAATAATGCACTCAAAATGGATATTAATAATAAAAAAAGTAAAATAAAGTTTTAATTAAATAGGCTTAATTGCTTCAATTATTCAGGCTGTGAGCAGTAACTAACAGCAGTACTCTATCAGCCAGTCATGTGCAAGAAATACAAAGGCAAACTTGCTATTTAATATAAAATGTATCATTTATACAGTTGCTAAGGTGTTCTGGGAGGTTTTTAACATGTTGCTATACAGTTGCTAGGGTGCCCTGAGTGGTCTGTGTATTGGGCCAACCAAAAGAACCTATCTTCAACTGTCAATCATTCTGGTTTCTGGAAAGAACTTGATAGTACCCTTATTAAGTCTACAAATGTATCACTAGTTTTATCGTCCAGAAGGTGAAAATCCCAAATCTGATCGCTTAGAAAAGTAATGACACCTGTCCTCAATCAGTCAAGTGATTTGAAGTATCATTCATTTTTGTATTACATATAGTCCCCCTGGATAAATACTTCAGATATAGTTTACCCAAAAATGAAAATTCTGTCATCATTTACTCACATATTCATCCATACTTACATTCTTCTGTGGAACACAAAAGATATTTTGGAATTCAGTGAGGTCCAAACAACACTGGACCCCACTGACTTTGACTGTATGGACAAAAGAAAAGAAAAAACCCCCCACTTAATTACTATTCAAAATATTTTTTTGTGCTTCACAGAAGAAAGTCAAACAGGTTTGGAATGACGTGAGGTAAGTATATGATGACAGAACTCTCATTTTTGGGTGAACAACCCCTTTAGGGGTCAAAATCCTTATTTTGTAAACTCACCTCTTGGGAATATCCAAATCTAAACCATTTCATCTGGAATTTAAAAGATCAATAGTGTCAAACACAATCAACTTTTACAGCTATACTGTATAAACTGTCAAGAGAACCTAATGCAGGGCAATCGGGTTCTTAAGTTGTTCATTTGTGCGAGACAGCAGGGACGCAATTAAATGATACAGCAGTCACATATGCGGCCCACAGAGGGAGGACAGGAACTTCACACTGTATCATTGGTATCACCACAACCCTGCGGGAGGAAGGAGAGCTGTGCTGGGGAATTAACAGTTTATGTAGCTAAAAATGTGCTTTGCGATTGTTGTCACAGCCAGCAGGGCAGCCCCGGTGGGAGGGAGGCAAATGTCTTCTGTCAGCAACTCTCTAATGTAATACGGGGTTTTCAAACACAACATTTCAGTTTTAGATGCTACCTAAGCTACAGTATTTGCCATTTAGACAACTGCAACCTTGAGGACAGCTGAGGCGAGCTTGATATTTATTTTAGGCACATCTTGCTAGCTTCCAAAAGCATAGAGTGCTTCAGGGATGGTCACAACCTGGAAACGTGTGAGCATTTTAGAATTTCCCAGTTCTATCGTCTCAAAGACATTGGGTTTTTGGTTAAATGCCCGAAATAAGGTATGTGGTTAAAACAAGATCAAAATATGTAAAATACAACATAAAATATATTAGTAATACCCTGGGATTTTTTTTACTTGTACTTTTCTCTTGCAAACAAGTGGCAAAATGGGACTACAGAGGTCCCATTTACACGGCAAACAGGTAACATCTACTCACTAGTCTGCTTCCAGCCTTTTGATCACATTAAACTCAAACTTTCAGTGAAATTGTTTTAAGTAAACACAGAAAGACAAAGTCATGTGACCGTAGTGTAATTCATTTTATAGTCTACGTTTAGCTTTTTACTTCTGCCATTTCAGCATCAAAATTCATAAAAGTTGTGCATTGGCCTACAATCATCACTTCAGCACTCTATTCAGAAGAACAGTCCAGCACTTTTTGGATGATGTAGTAACACATGCCAAACATATGTGGCATTGATATTAAATATCTCTGCTATAGTGTGCTGACATTGCGTAATCTCGGGAAGTAGCTCACTTGGTGGTTCCCAGAACAGACGCAGGATGTTTGCTTTGTATCAGATTTATGTTTCTTAGCCCCCAGCTATGCTGTAGGTTCTCCGGGGCAATTTACTAGGCAATGTTCTTGCATCATTTGTACATAAATAGCTGAATATGATGAATAACCAAACACTGCCAATTTCCTTGTTTCTTGTTGACGGTCAAGCAAAAAAAGAAATGTTCTCACAATGAAAGTTAATTACTTACAGATATTGTCTAATGCTCAAATACCATGTAGAAAAATTACTAGCATGATGTAATTTCTCCGAGGACAGGCACAGAGATATGTGCAAGCAAGACGGGCGTCAAGACAGGAAAAGAGTCTAGATTTGTGAGAAATCAGATTGGTAAAAATAAATCTCTCTAAATTCTCACTAGAATTAGACAATCAAATATATTAACATTCAAAAAGCTCAGAAAGGCCCAACTCTGCAAACTCTCAATGACATAATGACCTAATCTGATACATACTTTATATCCACTATTGTTCAAAAGTTTGTGGTCAGTAAGATTTAATTTTATAAAAAAAAAAATTAAAAAAAAAATTCTATTCAACAAGGACACATTAAATTGACCAAAAGTGAGAGTAAAGACATTATAACGTTGCAAAAGATTTATATGATAATAAATTTTTCTTGAGCACCAAATCAGCATATTTGAATGATTTCTGAAGGATCATGTGGCACTAAAGACTATGCCATCACAGGAATAAATTAAATTTTAAAATATAATACAATAGAAAAATTATTTTGTAATAATATTTCACAATATTACTGTTTCATTGTATTTTTTTTAATTTAAAAAATATATGAAGACTTGGTGAGCATAAGGGACTTCTTTCAAAAATTCTTAAAATATTTTACAGACCCCAAACATTTTCATGTTAATGTGTTTCTGTAATACTTTTAAATAATCAAATATGGGCTTTTCAAACTTTAACCTCAGGTTAAAGGTTGCATTAAATACAATAAACGAGGGTTAAGTTTAGCGTGGATAAAGAAGATTGCTGAAGTAAATTATAGCAAACATCGTCAGTGTTTACATTTTGTGTAAACAGTCTTTTAAATTAACTAAAACAATAGGCCCAACAGAAGCGCATATCCAGAGGTTAACAGCAAGGAATCATGATAGCAATCTCAGAAACACTCCCTTTGGCAGAGCACAAAATAGACAGTAGAGACAGGGTGAGGAGGGTCAATGAGGAGTTATGCTTAATATGACAGCTGTAGGAAAGTCTTACAGTTAAAATGATAATACACAATCCAGTGAGTCTGTCCTGAGTTCAAGACTTTTTCACTGTCTTGGTCTTGTCAGTCTCAGGAGCATTCAGACTCTATCTTGACTCAAACACGACCCTTTTCTGGTCTTGGTCTTGACTCGAACTCTAGGCCTAGATTCAAACTCAAAAGAGCTCGTCTCGACTTTAAGACTGTTGCAACGCATATGATGTTGCTTGACCTAGCTGTCAGTTGTCACTCATTTTATTCTACTCTGTGCATCCTTCAATATTAACTGACTAAATCATCATATACACAAGTTCAAAAAACAAGCACATGGATTAAATACTGTATGAAAGAAAGAGACTGTGTACTATTTATTGGAACGAGGCACTGTTGAACAAAGGAAGTTCATTGCCAGCTCTGACTAGGGCAAAGACAGCTGACCCTGGATCAGGTCATGATGACAAATATCTTTAACTCAGTCATTTTTCAAGTCTTTCTTTGAAGTTTTTTCCTGTTGATTTAACAAGCGACAGAAGACCCAAGTCCTCCAGGATCAAAGGGAGGAAGAAAACAGTGCTATGGCTTCTCATTGGCTGCGTAGCTGGGCACTCAGGTCCTGCAGCTCTGTGATGAGCTGCTCGAGCTCAGTGACATCACCTCTGAGGTCATCATGGAGTTCACCTGTGGCAACATCAGTGTACAGCTGCTGTGAAGAGAAAACAAAACAAAAAATGTGAGACTTATAAATGACAGCTGACAAAAAGATCATTACTTAAAAAAAAAAATCTAATTCAAAATTATAAAAAAAATAAAAATAAATAAACTTAACGTTACAATAAATTTAAAGATAACATGAAATCAAAATTGATGAATTGTCATTTAAAAGGAACATTTTATCCAATCAATTTCTGATATACACTTCCGTTCAAAAGTTTAGGGTCAATAAGATTTTTTTGACGTTTCTGAAAGAAGTCTCTTATTCACACCATGGCTGCATTTATTTGATCAAAATACAGTAAATCTGCGATATTGTGAAATATTATTAAAAATAACCTTTTCTATTTGAATACATTTTATAATGTAATTTATTTCTGTGATGGTAAAGCTCCAGTTACTCCAGTGTTGTTTCACATGATCCTTCAGAAATCATTCTAATATGCTGATTTGTTTCTAATATCTTATTATTATTGATGTTGAAAACCATTGTGCTGCTTAATATTTTTGTGAAAACCATAATATAGTTTTTCAGGATTATATAAAAATAACAGAATTTATTTGAAATTGAATTTATTTTACATTATAAATGTCTTTACTGTCACCTTTGATCAATTTAATGTGCCCTTTCTGAATACATGTATTAACTTAAAAAAAATAAAATAAAAATACTACAAATTTTTGAACAGTATTTTATAAAATACATTTTTTTTCATTCTAAATGTACTTATTAAATATCCTGTTTTGTTGGATTCGTCACATTATGAAAGTAAAATGAGTTGTGAACACTATTCTATATTGACTTAAATGTGTAATAGCATTAAATAGCCAGAAATGGACAAAAAATGCCAACTTTTACAAAACAAAACAAAAGAGGCCTGTTTTTATTGATAGCTTTAAAAAAAACTTTAGCAAAACCCTTAAAGCTAAAGACTTTAAAAGCTGAGTGTGTGTGAAACTCACTTTGGCTTTGGTGACCAGGCTCTTCAAACTGAGTCGAGCTGAAGACAGCAACTGTAGAGCCTCTTGAGGATTGCGCTTAGACCTGCTACAGCTGATAGAGACTGAGAGACAGAGAGACAGAGAGACTAAGACAGGAATCACTGAGGACTTTCATCTCCAGTACAGTCACAGCCAGCGAGGGGAGACAGTGAGTGTGTCGGGCTGTCAAAGGTCACATGAGGTCAGGTGATGCAATATCAATGTCTGTGGCCTCTGTTTATCTTCCTCACACATATGGAGGGAAGAAACAGTTTCATGAGTATACATGTCTACCTCAGTGCCTCTCTTTTTGTCTGTCATTCCATCATTTCCTTTAATTTCTGCTTCCGTGATTTACTTCTCAATTCCTTCTTCTTTATATTTCTTCCTCCCTTCCTTGATTCTCTCCTTACTTCTCCCCTCCCTCCCTTTCTTTCTTTCATTCTTTTAATTTTGGAATTTATGAAAGAAGGGAATTAAATTCTACATTTTTTCATTCTCTTTCTAAATTCTCATTCTTTCTTTCTAAATCTTTTAAAATTGTAATTATTTTTTTAATTATTTTTCTTTTTTTTCTTATTTTTTTCAATTATTTTTCAATTATTTTCTTTCTAAATGTTTCTTTTTCTTTTTTCTTTCTACATTCTTGTTGTAATTCTCTCTAAATAATTTGTTTCAAAATTCTTAAATTCTTGCTTTTTTCTTTTTTTAAATTCTCATTCTTACTAAATGTTATTTTTTCAAAATCTTTTTCTAAATTCCTGCTTCTTTCCTCTCTAAATGCTTTTTAAATTCTTTCTCGGATTTTTTCTAAATTCTTGCTTTCTTTGTAAATTTTCTTTCTCTCTCTCTTAATTTGTATTTTTTGCTCCCCCTTTCTTTCCTTCCAAATTCTTGCTAAATTCTAGTCAATCCATCCATCCATCAATCCAAAATTCATTCCTTCAGTCTTGCCATCTCTCTCTTCTACTCATGTTTCTGCCTGAAGCGGCGATAGCAGGAAAAGTGATGTGATTAATAAGTGCAGAGCTCATTCACAACACACACACAGAGCTATATTGCACAGAAACACATACATGAATACAAACACAATCCACACACAACCCAGTGAAGAATGATCTTATACGTATGCTCACACACTTCCCTCACCCTTATATCGATCGATCCTCCCCAAACACACACACACACACACACACACACACACACACACACACACACA